GCCGTCGGCCCCCAACACCCACCCCGCGGCCCCCCGCGCAGAACCCCCAGGGCCGGGCGTTCGTCCCCGCGGGGAGGCGCAGGGCGGCGCGCAGGGCGAGGCTCTGAGATCTTCCTGGGCAGGCCGAGCTGCGCCCCAGCGGGGTGGCGTGGTGCCCTGGTGCGGTCAAACCCTAGTCTCCGCCAGGTGTCCCCCAACCTCAGGTGCCCCAGCTGGGGCCCATCCTGCCCCCAGGCCCCGGGGCAGGGTCCTCTCCTCTTCAGCCCGCCCCTTTGGTCTGGGGGAGGGCTAGGGCCAGGCTTCACTCTGTGAGCGGGTGTTTAAGACCCTGCTGCCCTGCCTTTGAGCCCACCTGGTTGGGGGGTGGGGCTCCTCCACTATCTAGGAGCCCGCAAAGTCTCTCTGTGCTGCCACAGCCCATCCTGGGTACCCGCTGAGGGACGGAGGTGTCTGATGGGAAAGTGGGGACGCCTGTGGCCTAGGCTGTCCTCCGTGCCAGGGCAGAGAGCTGGTGGGGAGTATGTTCTGGACAGTGCCCCCCTCCTTAGGCCCAGGCCCCAACTTCTGTCCACAGCATGGAGCAAGCGTCCATCCTCCTTCTGAACTGACTCAAGGATGCCCCTGCCCACGCAGCTGGGCGAGGAGGGAGTGAAGAGGGGGCAGCGGCAGACTCAGGCGGTGGTGGGCACCCTCAGGCACATATAGGGACCTGAAGGCTCCAGCTATTGTTCCTAGGGTGGGGGGAGCAGAAAAGGGGACCCAGGAGGGAGGGTCCCAGGACCGCGGTCCCAGAGGGCAGGGCAGCGGCGTGCGTTTGCCTGGGGCTGGCAGGGAGCACTTCCCAGGGAGCCCGTGCTGGGAGGGGGGGAGGCATGCCCACCCGTCAGGGTGGGCAGCACTGGGCTTCCCCACCTCTGCCAGGATCCCAGGGGTGGGTCTCCCCACCTGCCATCTGGCGCACTACAGGTACAGGAAGTGGCCTCAGTCCTGGGGCCCTGGTGAGGCCTGGCTTCCTGGTTCTCTCTCCTCCTCACTGAGCATCCAGAGAGGGAGGCACATGCCGCCCTCACCCTTCCTGGAGGCTGAGCTCAGATGGACAAAAGGTTGGCAGGCTCAGGGGGGAGCAGCCGAGGGGAGCACTGACCCCCTCAAGGAGGCAGCAGGGGCCTGGAGTCCCAGGCTGGTCGGTAGCTACCTGGAGCCGTGGTGTCCACCCATGGACAGGTGACCGCCAGCTCTGTGTGGCCCAAGTGATGGGGGTGTCAAGGGCCCGGCCCAGATCCTCAGGCGAGTGGTCATGAACCCTGAAGGCAACAGGCATCATGCCGCTGGGTCTGCAGGGGAGGGGCTGAGCGTCCTCACAGACGGCAGGAGTGTCCATCCCAGACTCCGAGTCCACTCGGCCAGTGCCCAGGGCGGCAGAGGCGTGGATCTCTGCCGAAGGCGCATGCGGGCTGGGGGTGGGCAGGAGGGGCCGCAGGGGCACACTGGCCCCAAGCCAGAGAGGTGGGCGTAGGGGAAGCTTGCTCCCACTCGCCCGAGAGGGAGGAGACTGTGGAGGGTGCCAGCCCATGGAGGCCCAGGACGGGCCCTGCTGCTGCGGGGAAGCGCTCTCCCGGGGATGCTGGGTGAGGCCGGGCCAGACCTGTGCTGGCCCGGGGCCGTGTGCTCGTGTGTACGGAGGGAGAACCCTGGAGGAGGTAGGTGGCCTTAATTAGGAGAAAAGCAAGGAGGTAGAAATATTTATTTATTTAAAAACTAGGGTGAAGAGAAAATACTTAGATATTTGAACATAGTTATTCCAAGAGAAAACATGCAATAGAAACAAAGGAAAGTTACTGGAAAACATGAGCCTTGGTCTTCAAGGAGCACTGACAGCAGAGCTGTGAAGCGCACAAGTCAGAGACAGAACTCCTCCAGCCCTAGGAGCGAATATGACTGAACGTGACCAACCTTTTGACAGAGGCTGGGACTCTGAGCACTGGGGCGGCTCTCACCAACCCTGCAGGGGCAGGGGCAGCGGGAGCCGTTCTTCTCTGCTCCCTCCCCTCAGTGCCTGGGGTTTCCAGACCGCTGTCCTTCAGAATCCCCGAGGGGCAAGGAGTTGTGGCTGAGGAGACAATGGCCCCAAACTCCAGAGCTGACTGGCTCTACTGCATTTATTTCCTTTCTTTTGGAAGCCAGAGCGCACCATCCGTCAGGAACTTGGCCTGCCTCTGGCTGAGGGTACCTGGCCCCCACGCTGCCCTGCAGCTCCGGGACCCCCGGGAAGGCAGGGACTGCTGATCCCACGCCCGGCACAGGCCCTGCAGCACCGACTACACTGGGCTTTCAAAACCACGAGTTAGGACCCGTGTGGATAGCACGGAATGCCAAGAATTGTGTGAGGAAGGCGCCGTCACCGCAACCAAGTGCGCACCATCCTGGCTGGTGCTGTCAGTGACCAAGCAGGCTGGCTGGGCTCCCGACACAGCTGAGGGAGACAGCCACAGACACCACGAGGAAATGCTTCTCCTGAGAGGTGACAGGGTGGAGCCCACTGGGCTACCTGCTGGCAATGGGGCGATTCTGTGAGGTTTGTGGCAATGTCCCCTCTCTGGCCTCGGAGGTCAGGATGGCCACTGAAGCGAGATCCTTGCCAGCTAAAAACGGGGACTGAGCAGACGTCCCTGCAACTCCCCACAGAGACAGCCCAGGACAGTTCCTGACCCCGCCTGCGCTGTTCCCTGCGCTGTTCCCAGCATGTGGCCCCAGCACCTGGTTCGCACTGGTTCCTGACCCCCTCCTCCACCAAGAAGATTCACAAACCACTCCAGACCCTCCCACCCTATAACATGATGGCAAATCAGGAGGAAAACGCCTTTCCCGTCCTGCACTGTGGGAGGGGATGGCTGCGGCACGGCTGGGCTCCAAGGAGGGGGCTCCTGTCCAGGCCTGTCCTGGGGCTGGGCACTGCCCGTCTAGCTGACGAAGCTGGCGATGGCCACTACCTGCAGGACGGCCTCCAGGCTGTGGAGGGCCAGGAGCGTGGCGCTGAGGACCAAGTCTGCCCACAGCACCAGGGTCTGCCAGAGCAGGAAGTAGAGGGACAGCAGGGCGCTGCCCGCCGTGAGGACCAGGCTGGCGGCCAGCGGCACCTCGGCCTCCATCAGGTTGCCCTTGGTGCCTGGAGAGCAGAACAGACGTGACGTGTGAGCGTGGGGGCTGTGGGAGGCCTGCTCAGGACCCACCGCCCGCGCCCGGGAGGAGGAGAGGCTTCGGGGGCCCAGCCACGTTCCGTTCCTCGAGGGCTTGAGGAATTCCAGGGAAGGGTCCCGCTGTGACCACCACCCAGGACTCTAAGTGTGAGGAGGCAGGGGGCACAGGGGGGCGTAATCCCCACAGGGAGGTGAGGGCCACTACAGCCCTACCCTCCTCATCTCCGTCTCTGGCTCAGTTGTGTGGGTGGGAGGGAGTTTGGTTTTCTAAAAACGATCCCAACTGCATTGACACCTTTTCCTAATCACAAGTGGACTGAAATGATTTTGTTTAAAATTTCCAAAAATACTTCACTCTGGGCTCAGGCCAGTTCTGGGAAATTTCACGCATACTTATAAAACACCAAACTACTGCATATTTTACAAACAAATGGGTCACGAGAAATGCTGATCCCCAGCTGCAGCCAGCTGACCACAGGTGCCCAGGGCGCCCGAGAGCCTGCAGTGTGCGGGGAGGTGGGGGAGGGGCAGACGGGGCAGAGGTCGGCAATTCTAGCACCGTCCACCACCCTCCCACGCACGCGGGCCCCGGTCTGTGACAGCAGACACTCCAGGCCCACAGTGCGCTCAACAGGACAGCTGAGGAGACCTGCTTCTGTCCACGCCGCACAGTCCTGAGGGTTGGAGGCCAAGGGCATGGGCAGGGGCCTAACTTCCCTCTCTGCCTCAGTTTCCTCACTGTCGCTTGGGGGCATGTCTGGGTGGAATGTGCTGGTGTGTTGGGGGCCAGGCAGCACGTGCAAAGGCCCTGGCAGTGCCAGCTCTTGTTGGCTCTACTTGCTATTCCAAAGGCAGGCGTGTCTCCTAGATGTATCAGCAGAGCGTGCACAGTATGATCCCATTTAAAACACAGACGGGCTGCCTGCGACTGCGGAGGTGAAGGCAGAGACAGGGCTGGAAGACGGGACCCCTTTGAGGGGAGCTCTGGTCGGGGGGCGGGGGTGGAGGCAGAGTGCACGCTGTGCCTCTGTACTGCTTGAGTCTTCTAGAGGAATGTACAGGGGGAGCCCTCGCACCCCTCCAAGATGTGACAGAACTTTCCAGACCCCTCTCCTCCAGACTGCTGAGGCCAACGGAAGGGGGAAGGGGGGTGAGGTGAATATTTTGGGGCTCCAGAGTTGATGGCTAAGCTGGGTTCTGATCAAAGTGCTGTTTGTTACCCAGTGGCTTGTGCAGCATCTGCTTCCAAAGGGGAAGTGTCTCCCCCAGGGATGCTGCAGTATAATTTGTCTCTGGGACAAAGCTTCTGGATAAACTAATGAATACTTCATGATACTGTAAGGCGAGGCCTGCAGAGCCACTGGTTAGGTGGTTTAAATCCAAAGCGTCTTTAAGAGCCGTATTATAAAATGATGACTGTTTAAAGGCTCATGGCCTTTAGCTAGCAACTCTGTTATCTTAAGTACTTTACGGTTTTCACAGCCAACTCACCAAAGTATAACCGAGTTGCTTCCAGAATCCCCATCAGAAGGAGAAGAGTCAGGTCGAGGACCAGATAGTCACGAGGATAACTAAAAACCTGACCTGCAGACAACGGGCAACAGACCAGAACTCAAGTTACAGCAGCAGCAGCGACCACACCTGCACTTTGCCTCTTCCTCCCAGACTTACTTTTGTACGTCATCATCAGGAGTGTGGCCAGGAAATACAGGCAGCACCACGTCCCACTGAGATACAGCAGCATCTGAAGAGGGACCGACGAGAGCTGGCTCAAGGTTAAGGACTCTCACCAGCAGAGCGCTGCCTGGGGCGCCCACCCAGGGGGCTGACCGGGGCGGGGTGGGGGGGGGGCTGCTCCGCATCTGCCTGGAGGTACCGCCACGGAGCCCTGGCCACCGGCTGGCTCCCCGCCTACTGGGGCTTCCATCGGCACTCCTCCTGGTGTCCCGGGGGACATCCTGGGCTGGAGCAAGAGGACTGGGCACATGCTTGGTGACTGCAGGCAGGACGGTCTCGGGTGGTGTTGGTGTCACCCTGACCCTGGCCCCAGTTACACAGTAGAGAGAAAACAAAGATTTTGTTTTCTTCAAGTAAAATATATTTCTTTCTTTTTGGGGGCAGTTAAATATCCACTGCCAACTTTCCTGAGCTCTGTACACTTCGAGTTTATGCTAAAATACGTCTCTAAGCATTCAAACTGAGGGGTTTTCATTTTCCTGCTCCTGGGGGCCTGGCGGGAGGCAGGGGGCCATCCCCCTCGAGGCCCCAGGATTAAGCGGGAGGCTGACAAGCCAGCATGCTCCATTCAGAGGAAGTCAGAGCAACTCTAAATCTGTTAGTGAACAGCCCTCCCACTTAAAAGTGGAATTACTACTCGGAACTTGTAGAAGATCGGGGTTTTAGGGAGCAAAAAGCAGGAGCTGAGAGCTGACTTCACGGGGCCGGCAACTCCATGCTCGGGCGCCATCCCGCGGAGGCCTGGGTCTGAGGGACACGGGACACAGCAGGGACGCAGCAGGATACCACCGTGGAGGAGGCTCTCCCTGGAAGAGAAAGCACCCATCAGTGAGGCCCACGGTCCCAGCGCGAGGCTTAACCGGGCCTGGTCAACGTCGACACTCACGGGCCCTGCTTCCTCCTCCTTTCATTGCACACTTACAGAAAGAAGCCAACGTTTATTGGGGCCTGCAGGTAGGTACTTTTCTATCACCTCTGCGTCTGTCCCTCCGAGGAGGATCTGACAGTCCGCTTCTCAGAACCCAGGGCTGGGAGGCAGCAGGTCCTGGGAGCAGAGGGAGCTCATAGGGAGCGGGAGTGAAGCCTGAGGCTGCATCAGCCAGGCAGGAAAATGCCCAGGAGGGCAACCCACCAGCAGCTTTTCACATCTTCTGTGGTTTCTGCATACTTGCCGCACGTATGTAATTAGATGAAAACCTCTTCTCATTCAGGTTATGACAAGTCTTTTTTCGTAATTGATAACAGACACTTGCTTTCCTCCGGAATTTTATTCATTGCCCCAAACATCCCTCCAAAAAACAAGGATTTCCTAAGTCAGCAATCCAATCTCTGTGCATCTCTTGGCCAGTCTCTGCTCCCGAGCTGTCACACATTTTTCCAGCATCCTGTCATGGAGATAACAGCGAGCCCAGGGCAGGCGAAACTGTCTCCTGAATCAGAGGTTCTGCGTTTGAAGGTAACTTGGACTCTTCCTTGCATCGTATGCATCCCGGGTCAGATTTCCTGTTTGAAGAGGCCACACTAGTAGCACCTTTGTGATATGTAAATACATCAGTAAAAATTTAGAATTTGGCAAACACCATCTATAGGAGGCTCGAGCTGTACTGCCAGGCAGCAAGGACAGCGATGTGAACCTGCCTGCCCAATCTTCTCCTGTGTCCCGAGGGGGCAGGAGAGAGACCCCCAGCCTTGGGGAGTTTTTGTGAGGACATCAAGGGGCGATCCCACGCCTCCTTGGGCAGATTTGGGCCCTCTGTGGAGTCTCACTTGGGTGGGGGTCTTAAGTGCGTCAACACAGGACATTAGTGACAGAGATTCAGAACTGGGCTTCGAGGAGAGACGCCACATGCTGAGAGCAGGAAGCCAAGCAAGCGCTAATGGGGTGCTGATCATTTACGCTAACGGGGTGCTGATCATTTACGCTAACGGGGTGCTGATCATTTACGCTAATGGGGTGCTGATCATTTACGAACTCGCATCGCCTCAGGGGCAGGGTGCTCTTTAAACCCGATCTCGTCTTTTCCAGGCTCTGGCTAACCTAGGCTGCCTAGATACCTGTTATTATTTGGGTGGATTTCATGTTAATTGGGGTTTTCCTCCTTTCTCATCTTTTTCTGGAAGGTCACCCTCTGACCCACTTCGAATCTATTTGCCAGCTGCCTACTGTCAGACTGCAAGTGTAGAGACCTTAAGCAATACACGATTTCAATAATGAACATTAAGGGTGGCTATAATCAGAGAGGCTGTCCGATCTCAGGCCTACAGGACTCACTGTGACAAAGAGCTGTGGCTCTTAGGACCTGGCATCTTTTGTCAATGATTTACCGTGATGACAACGGGCTACGAGCAGGTGTGCCCAGACAGAAGTTAAACGTGAAAGTAAGAACAAATGTCCCCCTGAGGTGACACACAAGGTGAGGAGGAGATCCTGTGCTGGGATAAACTTCATCTTTCACCAAGTGGAAGTATACAGACAACCCTCATTACCGGTGGCCTTCCGGGGACAAAGGTCTGGCCATCTGGAACCGTCCTGTTGGAGGGCCCTGAATGACACAGACAACCGAGCCGGCTCCTCTGCGGAGGCCGACCTGCTGCTCTGGTCTACTCCCTCCCCCGTCCCTCTGCGGCCCGGGACCCCAGCGCAGGACAGCGGAGGGACGGAAAGGGGACTTGATCTGACCGCGTGAACCTAAAACAGCTCATGCCGAGGCCTGGGGACACAGCCTCCATCCCGCCCACATGCTTTCTTTCTATCACACAAGTTGTGCACACAGATGCTGTCACCAGACGGGGCGGTCAGTCCTGTAAACGGGGCGGCGACCCAGCAGGGCGCGTGCCAAGCTCAGGCGTGCCTCGGCTCGTGCGCCGGGCGGGCTTCACACTGTCTGTCCCTGAACGCACCAGACCACACTGGCTGTGACTTCAGACCAGGGGCAGCCGGGCGCCCGGCACCGCCTCCCCGGACACGGAGCTGCGGCGGCCGCGACAGGCGCCCCTGCCCTCCTCCGGCGACCCCTCTTCCCCGGGCCCCCGCAGGGACCCCCCAGAGCCGCACAGCACACAGGTCCCCGAAGGCCTCCGCTCCAGTCCGCGGAGCGGGAGCCCCGGGGAGCCCGGGGACCTGTCCGCTGCGGGTGGGGACCCCGGGAAGGGACACGAGCGTCCGCACGGACACCTGTGCCCGCGCTGCCCGCAGCACCAGCCACAGCCGCAGGGAACGACACGCAGACGGCCCGGGCGCCCGGCAGGGGGCTGCTCGGTTCCCAGCCCCGGGCGGAGCTTCACCCTGGGCAGACCGCGACCACTGCCCCCGCTGGTCGGCCGTCCCACCCACAAAGAACCGAACCCGACCGGACCGAGCCCCTCTCCCGGGGTCATCCCCGCCCGGGCCCCTCCCGAGCCGCGGGCCGGCCGGCGCTGCGCGGGGGCGGACTCGGCGCCGGGACGCCCCCAAAACCGCGGGCGCCCCCCAGGTTCTCGGGACCCCCGCGGCCCCCGCCTCAGCCCTCACCTCGCCGCGCGGCCGCCATCTTGCCCCCCAGCCCCGCCCGCCGAGTCCGCCGCGATCCCGGCAGCCTCTCGGCCCCGCGCCGTCCGTGTCCGTTCGGCCATTTTCGCTTCTGCTCCCGAAGGGGCCCGACCGCGCCGCGTTTAGGGAGTTGACGCCGAGCCGCGGCCGAGGTCCGATTAGCCCGTCCGGCGGCACTCGGGCACTTTCGGACAGGAGGAGGCGGAGAGCCGAGGCTCGGGAGGATCCGGGCTCGGGGGCGTTCGGCTCTGCTCGGCTCAGCCTCGGGCCGACTCGGCTTCCGCTCGCGGCGGGGGCGGGCGGAGCCTGCGGCGCAAGGTTCTCCTGGCCGGGCGGCGCTGCGTCGGAGGCGGGCGAGAGGCGGCCCCGCAGTCGGCGCCCCTGTGGGCCGGGGACGACAGCCGGCGCGGCCTCCTAGGTGCTGAGGAGGGCTAACGCAGAGCCGCTCGGAAACCCTCGTGCGGCCTCGGACCAATTCGGACCGACTCGGCTCCGCGCTTCGGGCCGCTTCGGCCCTCTTCGGTTCCTGGTCACTTGGTCGTCGGCTCTGCTCGACTGGGCTGCTTCGTGCCGGTTCGGCCCCTGTTCGGGCGGCCTCGGCTCGGCTCGGCGGGCGGTTTCGGGCGGCCTCGGCCCGGCTTCGGGCAGGCTCGGCTCGGCTCGGGCGGCCGTCCTCGGGCAGCGCTCTTCGGGCTCGGTCCCGGCCTTCGGGCGGCCCCGGCCAGCGCCTTCGGGAAGGCTCGGCGGAGTCCGGATGGAGGACTCGGACTCGGCCGCCAAGCAGCTGGGCCTGGCCGAAGCAGCGGCGGTGGCGGCCGCGGCCGCTGTGGCGGCGGCGGCCGCGGCCGCGGCGGGAGGCGAGCCGGAGGAGCCGGTGCTCAGCAGAGACGAGGACTCGGAAGAGGACGGGGACTCGGAGGCGGAGCGCGAGACGCGGCGGGTGACGGCCGTGGCGGTGATGGCCGCCGAGCCCGGGCACATGGACATGGGCCCTGAGGCCCTGCCTGGCCCCGACGAGGCCGCCGCGGCCGCCGCCTTCGCAGGCAAGTGCGCCGCCCGCGTCCCCGCGCAGCTGTCCGCACCTGTCCCGCGCTCCTGCCCCGAACACACCCCGCACGCACCTGCCCGCACCTGCACCGCGCGCAGTCCGCTCACCTGTCCAGACCTGCCCCTCGCGCATCCTGCAGGACCAATGCGCACCTGCCCTGCACACCTCTCAGCTAGCCCTCGCCTACCCCACGCACCTGCTCTGCACACCTGTCCTCTCTATGCTCCTGCCCTGACAAGCCCACCCATTCTCTCCCAGCACCTGCCTCACACCTACCTCGTGTGCCCTGTTGTCCCTGCACACCTGCTCCGTGTGACCAGCTTGGCCCTGCCCTGTACACACACCTGCTCCCTGAACCCCTTTTCCTTGTGCCAGCCTCACCCCCCCCCCATTCATCACTCTGTGCTCCTTCCAGAACCTTCTCAGCACCTGCCTCTTGTCCTGCCTGACTTCTCCTTCGTCTGTCCCAGGTATTGGTGACACAGGAGGTCAGACATGGATCCTGTCCTGGAGGAGCCTGAGGGTGGGCGTGTCTGGTTGCCCGGAATCCTAAGGGCCAGTTCAGGTGTGGCCTCAGTGCTGGGGAGTAAGACTGCTCACCCAGCCTGGGAGGGCCGGCAGCCTTCTGGGCAGTGAAGCTGGAGGTCAACATCCTGCTCCTCAGACAGCCCTCCCTGTCTGCCCCCCATTTCCTGTATAGATCTTCCTTCCTGCGACCCCCTCAGGCTCCCTTCCCCGGGGAAGGCTGGCGAGGCTGCTGGCCCACATTGTTGTTTCTTGCCGCACAGAACATTCTTATTCTCAAATTTCGTGACCCATGGAGTCTCGGAGAGTGCCTCAAAGTGCGCTTTAGAGGTAGCGCCTCCCCAGACCAGCGGCCCGGAGGAGGTAGACTTTCCCATGTGTTGTACCTTGACCCACTGGAGGCTCCCGAGTGGCCCTCGAGGACTAGGCGCGCCATAAGGCACTTTTCCCCTAAGGAGTCTCACAGCTTTCAGAATTAGCAGCCTCCCATTCTGGTGTGTGGGGTCCTGGTCACTCAGGGGTTTATACATCCCCATCGGTGCTGGCTGGGGGCCAGCAGCCCAAGTCCCTCCCTGCCAAGCGTCTCTGGTCTGCCTGTGGTTTGTTTGGGGTCCTCGAAATATAGAGGAAGAAGGCTTTGTGGTTCTCAGAAGGTTCAGTTTTTATCGCTAAACTGTGGTTTAATATTGGGATTTTGGACCGTGAAGTTTTTCTTCAGATTTTTGCTTTTTGCACATATTTTTCTTTTTCTTTCTTTTTTTTTTTTTTT